TTATAGTAATTTTATATGTTTTTTTTATAATTTTATATATATAAAAATTTACAAGCAAAATAGTGTGACAAATCGTGCGACTGCTATTGATACCCAGATAATTATCTGAATACCTGTCAGATTATCCAGATATCTGAGCGATTTTGGATTATTCAGATAAACAAATATGGATAAATAGATGATGGATTGGAACTCTATTATTAGATAATGGTAAGTATTTATGTTCTTGGTTGGTAAACTTTGTTTGCTGTTTTTTGATTCACTGATTAAAAATGTTTTTATACACATGATGGTTAACACAAATAAGATATACTAGTATTTATAGTTTGGTTTGTAAACTTTTTTTTGCTGTTTTTAATTCTATTGATTGATTAATAAATATTCTTTATCTTTATCACATAAGTTAAACAAAAAGCTCTAGGCCATTCTTATTGATCAGAATTTAAGCAGCACTTAATCAATTTAATATAGCATTTAGAAGTTCCAGGTTGTAATCCTCTATAAATCTTGAAATAATTATCGTAAATGAAATGTCTTGGGTAACTGTAAGAATTTATATTCTTTGCTTGTGTACTTTAATTCCACTAATTATTAAATGCTCTTAATATATGCGATGATTAGCGTGAATAAAATTACTTGAAGGATTAGATAACAGTAAGTACTAGTCTTTGTTTTGCTGTTTTTAAATAGATGTACTGGTATGTAAACTATTAATTCACTAATAAGTGGTCATATAAGGTTAGGGCTAGTAGTAAAATTATTAGCTGAGCACTTTTTGCTTAATGAATAATTATAGTTTCATTATAAAATTCTTAGTGATCTTGGGCAAATTGATCAACACCAGAATTTATGATTAAAATTTCAATACTCAAATATTGACCCTAATTTAAGTTCAAATCTGGCTATTGAACCTAAAATTTGGGTCAGTTAAAGCGGGACAAATGTTATTAAAATTAGTAAAGAATAGCTTAAAAGATTATTTTTAATAAAATTTCTTGTTTTTTTTTGCAAATTACGTAAAATATAAATTTTTTATAAAATAGTTCTTTATAGATCGGGTCTGAGTCTAATGAAAGCCAAATTTAACTTATACTTATGGGTTTTTTAGCAAGCTGAGCTTAAGCTTGTAAATACTTTTTGGGGCCTCCATAAGCCCAGCATACTGCTTCCTAGTATTGACATCCAAATTACCACTGCGGCTTATATTAGAGTCATTATTAGTTGCTGATCTGATTGTTTATAATAATAATATAGCTTTTTTGTTTTCAGAGTTAACTGTTAATATAGGAAAGTTATTTTTATTAAGAGCAATAGTTAATTATTAAACAATAAATTAAACTAAAATACAATTAAATATGTAAGTACTAGAATAAAAAATAAGTAATTATTGCTATACTATTACCTTGCTTATCTTTAGTCTTAAGATTAAAAATTAATTCTGCCAAATCATCGGATTGCAGTAATAGTAAATGACCCAAATGACAAATGACTAGTTATTGGGCTATTTTGAGACCCAAATGACTTAGATCATTTAACATATATTAATTAATATCTATTGCCATTTAGCTAGTCAGAATTTGCTGCCAAACAAAATTAAAATATAATCAATAATCATAGCTATATATTAAAGTCAAAATTTTACTATATTAATTAATATTTAAATAACTTTTATTAATTCACTTCCATGCTTTACATTTATACGAAAGTTAATAAATACTTTTTACTTTATAAATATTAATTGACTTAGTAAGACTTTGACTTTAATACATATATAGCTATGATTACCAAAATTAAGTTTGATTACTTTTTTTTTTTTTTTTTTTTACCTGCAGATATATTCTTGGGACGCTATAAGGCATTTTATTAATTTAACTGAGTATGTATAAAAGTTATATCTCTGTGAAGCTTACATCAGTATAAGAGTTACATTATGGTTTGTTATAACTATAGATGACTGGATCTTACGCATTACTATCTATCTGAAATTCAGTTTGATGAATTTAAGAACTTTCCTGACTTTTTTATTTTGTGGTTTTAATCTGTGCAAGACCTTGATTTCTTTGGTAATACGGTTACATATTATATGAATTAATGTCCCCATTGGGATAACTTTATCACCCCATTTTGCTTAAGTATACCACCACCAGATTTGATGTAGTGTGGTGATGTGTAACCATGTTGCTGTGACTAGCTTAGACCCTGCTTTGATATTTGAATCCGTGATAACTTCTTCCAGGTTGCTGGGCGGGCTAGGATTAGGTGAGCTGTTGAAGAATTGATAGGCTGTTCTCCAGATTATGCGGCTGATTGCACAATCTATTACAAAGTGTTCCATCGTTTGTAAATCATTTGGACATGCTGGACAAGTTCCGGTCTCTGTGTTATTAAAGTATCGCATTCTGTATCCCAATGAAAGAGCTTTGTGTGCTATTTGCCAACATATGTCCATTTTCTTTTTGATAACTTTTTATATGAGCAATTTGATTAACAAAATTATTTTATATGCAAATGATTTATGTAATAAGCTTAATGACTTTGTCATAATTTGATGATTTGAGTCATTTAAATTTAGATCAAAGACCACCATTCCTGGCTTGAGTCGGGCATATAAATTTTTATTGAACTTGGACCAAAGTATATCTAGTCTAACTCAGCCTATTTCAAAACCTACAGACTAAATAAACTTCAGACCCTGGTCATTTCCAAATGACTAGTTATTTGGTCATAAGCCATTTCCAAATGATTTGAAATTGAAATAACTAATAATGACCAGTTATTTGAGGTTATTTCTATAATGATCTAACAAATAAATTTTTTTAATTAATTTGACTTTTGACTTGATATAGTACGATACAAAGTGATCTAATAATTAAAATTTTTTTTATTTAAATAGCAAAAATTCGGCAAGAAAATTTTCATACCTTAAAGACAATTAGCACCTCCACAAATTAGCTGATGAACGAAATTTGCAAAATTATAACTTCCCAAAAGGGAAAAGACAAATTAAATATTCATGGTTATTTGTTAATTAAGGAGTATCGAAAAAAAACATATATTATTGGTGTTGTGAAGAGCAAAAATCAGGAAATTGTAAAGGCAGAGCTGTAACAATATTAGACAATGATCAACATTACCTTAAAAAGTTTAAAAAACATAATTATTCACCTAGAACAGGCTGTAAAGGTGTTGTAAAGCTTATTTCTAATATTAAAGAACAAGCTAAAAATACAAAAGATAAGCCATCAAATAATACAAAATAATCTTGCTAATGTCTCTGAAGGAATTATTCCTTATATACCATCGTATGAAGCTTTTTGCTCAACTATCAAACGTGCAAGACGGGCAGAATCAACATTAGAGCCAAAAAGTCTTGATGAAATTGATATTTCTATTTCTCTTCGTTTTACATTAACTGAAGATCTATTTTTTTAAAAAAATACAATTGTAGATCAAGAAGGATATTTTTTATTTTCTACAATAAAAAATATTCGATACTTATCACAAGCACCATTTTGGCTTATAGACGGTACTTTTAAGACTGTGCCTAAACTTTTTTATCAGTTGTATACGATTCATACACCAGTAGGTGCAACAAGTAATTGTAGAATTCTTTCTTTGGTCTATGTGCTCATGACGAATAAAAGTGAAGAGCTCTATCAACAATTATTTCAATATCTAAATGAAATTGCTGAAGAAAATAATATAGTATTAAGTCTATCAATTGTTATTACAGATTTTGAACGTGCTTCAATTAATGCATCACATAATGAATTTCCAGGTGTTACAAATAAATGTTGCTTTTTTCATTTGGGTCAAAGTGGTTGGCGCAAAATTCAAAAAGTTGGATTAGTTAATCAATATGGTGATGATGATAATCTTAGTATAGGATTACAGCAACTATTCGCATTAGCATTTTTACTTCCTAAAGAGATTCCTTCTGCATTTATTATTTTAAAGCAATATATACCTTCAATTGCCAATGCAGTTGTAGAATGGTTTGAATTAACATATGTTCTTGGAAAACCATGATGAGAATTACAAGATGGTACTATTATTTGTAACCAACCTCTTTATCCTCCTCACTTGTGGTCTGTTTATGACACTCTCCATTTAGGTGTTCCAAGAACTCAAAATAAAGTTGAGGCCTGGCACCGTCGTTTTGGAACTTTAGTTGGTCGATTATATGTAGGAGTTTATACAATTGTTCAGAAGTTTCAGAAGGAACAACAATTTGTTGAACTTGAAGTTGAAAGAGTCATATGTAGTGATCAACCACCAAAATGAAGACAACAAATAATTGAAAGAATTATGAAGATTGTTAATAATCGTACAAATCTTACAGTGATGAATTATTTGTGTGGAATTGCTTACAATTTTTCTTTATAATAAGAGTATCAATGCATATATAGTTAAATAAACCAGTTTTTTGGATACTAAAATTTTTTGCTTAAAGTGCTAATATCATTCTTGCATAAATATTTTTTATAAAATATATATATATAGTTAGCACTCAATATAATAAATAACAGTTTGCAAAAACATTAAGCAATAATAAATAAGGGGAGTGCCTATTTTCACCATGGTAGTTTGCTATTTCCACCATTGTTACACAAAAATTACTATTTTTAACATTTATATATATTTATATAGTAAATTATTAGTTTTTTAAAAATTAAAGAACTTTTTAATAAATAAACCTTTTTTTCCAACTTTACGTAAGATTGTAGAGGAGACTTTTCTAGTTCTAATGGTGGTTAGATCATCAAAATCGGCTTGGTGGATCCCAAGATATTTGGGGTTAAAGGCACGAACATAAAG